GATATCGAAAATGAGTCGAGTACCATATGCTTCCGCAGTTGGATCGATCATGTACGTTATGACGTGTACTCATCCTGATGTGGCTTTCGCATTGAGCATGGTTAGCCGATATCAAGGGAACTCGGGTAGAGCTTATTGGACCGCAGTGAAGAACATTCTTATATACTTGTGAAGGACTAAGGATCGGATCCTTACCCTTGGTGGGAGTGATGAATTGAGAGTGATAGGGTACAGTGATGCCCGTTTTCAGACCATCAAAGATAACTTCCGCTCTCAATCAAGCTGGGAATTTACCCTGAATTGAGGAGCAATCACTTGGAAAAGTTCCAAGCAGGAGAATGTGGCTAATTCAACGTGCGAATCAGAGTACATAGAAGCGAACGAAGCGTCGAAGGAGACAATATGGTTGAAGAACTTCATTGGACACCTTGGAGTTCTGCTAGCCATAAAGGAGCCTATGGAGATTTTCTGTGATAACGAAGGAGCGGTTGTCTTAACCAAGGAACCAAAGGATCGTAGTAGATACTGACATATCAACATAATATATCACTTCATTAGGCATCAGTTAGAAGAGGGACTCCTCATAGTAAAGAGTGTATCGTTAGAGGAGAGCCCAACAGATCCCCTCACAAAGGGTCTGAGTAGGGTTAGGCATTTGCAACATGCTAGGAGCATTGGTCTGAAGGACGATATTAGTTTTAATGATTAGATAGTTGTTTAGAAACTTATAATATATAAAATGTAATTGACATTTGATGATTAAATAAAAGAGTTTTTATTTATGAGTAAAGTTTACTATCTTGTGCCAATTGTTTGCTATTGTTTCACTTTTGCATGTTTTGACTTCCTGAATAATAGGATTATTCGAATTATCCACAGTCGATCATACTTTAGAAGTAGACTATGAGGTTAGACTATCATGAATTGGTGTGTAGATTGTCTAAAAGTTTAGACATAGCAAAGGTTTACTGTAACGTTCATGAGTGCTCTTGAAATAAGATTTGAGTATTGGATTAAACTCACGCTCATTTGAATCACTTCATGGAATTTATCACGAGTGATTGTGAGACGATAATATTGTATAATATTTAAACTGATATATATGAGTTGTTTTTTACGAGTTGGTTGTGCATTAATAACGCGTAAACGCATAAGTAACTTGATGTTATAAAACCTATTGTTGTGTACGATTTGATGAATAAATAGTACAAGCATATAAGTCAAAATTTATCTATTCCTTTTATCCTAAGAGGGTAAAATATATCGATATCTTGGGCCCCTTGATGATTTGGTATTGACTTATGTGTCAGGCCCGGTCAGGACTAAATTGATGTGTTTTACCTGAAACCCTAGTAGCTCAGATTATGGTTTTACTTGAAACCCTAGTAGCTCAGCTATATAAGGAACCCTTGGGGTGCCTAAAATCGGCCATTACATCCTAAGAGGAACCCTAGCCGAATTTTAAAGCCTTCCCACCTCTCACATATTCTTCCAATTGCTACTTGGTGTTTGTGACTCACTATAGGTGCAACAATTGAGACACTAAGCTCTTGAAGGTCAGGATCTACTAGCTACAAGGAAAAGGTATTCATCTAACTTTGTGTTATGTTACAAATCTCGAAAATTGTATGCTAGTTAAGGTTCATGCTTTGGATGATTAGAATTGCGTGTATAACTTGAGAAAATCCTAGATCCAAAGCATTAGGGTTGCATGTACACCATAGGAATGTTATAGTGCTAAAAAAAACCCATCAAAATGTATGTATGGTATGTAGTATTTTAGGGGAACTCACTAAGCTTTGTGATTACAATTTATGTTTAAAATGTTTGGGTTTTCTTATACTAAAGGAATGGTACGGCTTGATTGCATCGCATGCATTAGAGATTTCCGCACTTAACAAATCTTATGTCGAAACTTTGATAAATGTTTTTAAATCAAATGGTTTTATTAGATCTTTGATGTTGTAATTGGAACAAATGATTTTATTTTAAGTGAAAATTTTGGTTTGAAATTTAGGATGTTACAAGTTAGTACGAGAGCCATGGTTTGAGTCCACTATGTTTCAACTTCTGTATGTTGCTTCTTACTCTCTTTCTAATTGTCGTTTATTACATATAAGGTCCAATCCTTCTTATTTCTTTAATAGTTACTCGTAAGTAAGTTGTTACATAACACACATACATCTACACATTCTTACAGGCCCATTTACATATTCTTACGACTCTAAGCCTCTTAGAATGAGAAATACAATTTTTTTTTATCATCTATCCTCTATCCTCTAGATATTTAGTATTCTAGCTTTATTGGGTGTGAGCCATTATAGACATTCACATTATGGATGTTTGCTTTCCATGTAGCTTTTGAAGACTTGAGAGTTAGTATAATTGTTTATACTAAATGGTATGTTTACTAATCTGATTTATAGTTTCATATAAGTATATTTGATCGATTTTCATAGTATGTTGCTATAATGAGAAAATGAAATAGATCTCTAGGTTGCATATGCCTATAAACTATTTTATGAATTCTAATACGTTGTTTTATGTTTTATTATAACCTTGAAAACTCATCAACAAGAGCATGAGACCTTTTGTTATACCATCACAGTTTGTAGGATTTGTTTCACTAACCTCATAATCATTTATTAATAATGGGAAACTGAGCAATCTAACAATTATTTAAACATAACCATGTACTCCTTAGCGGCACATTTTGAATAAATGAACTTTTTTTGCTGTTATACATCCCCGTTAATATACCGAATACCCACTGATTTATGGGGTTTTTGGATTTCCAAACGTTCACCCTTACTGTGTATGATAGTTAATACACTAACAGCTATTTTGCAGAATATGCATCTTGGTTTATAGATGATGTGACTAAAATCTCCGGCTTCAACTTTGATGGCTATGGTGACGATGGAGATATGGAAGATCATAACAAAAACAATCCGTTAGTCGATCTCGTGGAGGAGGTCCCGGGAGAACGCTCCGACAATCAAATTGGTGACTTGAAAGAGTTATTATTCTGGGAGTATGAGTGAGTGAGAGCATACCTTTTCCAACGGACAATGGATATCTCTTATACTGAGGTCAGACAAGTGGCCTGTACGATGGATAAGGGGGTCAGGCTTGACAAGGATCGGGCATTCTAATTGGACGATCATGCTCTTGGTCGTCTTAAAGCTTGTGATTGGTTTAGGTGATAATGTTCTGAGCATTCCCTTTGTCGCTTAGAGTTGTTTCCTTTTGTCGTAAAGTGGAAGTGTCTGTTGGGAAGTTGGCTCGCATGGGCTCGCCCTGGTAAGGTAGTCACGTCAGCGACCATGCAGACTCCTTGCTATACGTCAGCGGCCATGCAGACTCCTTGCTAGAGAGCGGAGCGATGTCCCTTGACCCGCGCCAATGGGTATGTTATGAATAGCTATACGAACCCATATCCGCAAACTCCTAGTGACTATCAAATATTGGGGGTACCAAACCCACCCAATGATGTAATTCTCCTTAAGAGTTTCACTATCATCCTTGTGAAGGGCACATGCATACCGCAATAATGTGGCGATAAAAGGAATTATGAAGTTTTCTTATGTTGGTTCCTATAGAAGTTCATCACAAAGCAATTAGTGAGCATAGTGGGTTGGACCAAGATACAAATCAATTCATATCAAAGACGATTCACTCAAACTGTACATGGTACACAACAAAAAAGGGTCCATTTGCACAATATATTATTGAGTAAATTACACGAATGGTCCCTATGGTTTAGGGTAATTTGCGTGTTTAGTCCATAACTTATTTTTTTAACTCGGAAGGTCCCTACTGTTTGTTTTTATTACGCGCTTGGTCCCTATCTTACCTAAATATACTATTTTTCCCTTGATATTTTAATTTATTTAAGTAAACACACCCCCAACCCTACCCCACTCACCTTACCTTACCTACCCCACCATTTTTTCTTATTTAAATAATAGTCGTTTTAGGTAAGACAAGGACCAAGTGCGTAACAAAAACAAACTGTAGGGACCAAGCACATAACAAAAACAAACCGTAGGGATCTTCCGAGTTAAAAAAATAAATTAGGGACCAAACGTGCAAAATACCCCAAACCACAAAGACCATTCGTGTAATTTACTCATAATTAAACGCATAAAGACCTAAAAAATATATAAAAATAACCATACTACATATATAAAAATAACCCTCGGAAGTTCCATTTCAATAATAACAATAATAATAATAATCATACTACAAATAACAAACCATTAACTGAAATTAACAAACAAAAACATAAAGAAAATGACTGTTTTATCAAAAAAAAACATTTACATTGGTTAGATTTTCGATTTTGATGTTTGTATTTGTTAGATTAATCATAAACCGATGATTAATCCAATGTACTCTTCAAGTATTTGATAGTTTAGCACTATCAGGAATGGAAAGAGATTGTTTTGTGAAGTGATCATCTTCTACCTCACCACCATGTCAACCATATCCATTCATCACCACACCATTAGGGTTGTCGTGACACACAAAAAAAAAAGGAGAAGGAAACATCAACATATGTGGTTTCGACTACGCCCAATTTCGATGACACCAACGAGACTATACTTGGGGTGATGTTCACGCCAATGAGGTCGACCAAGCCCTTACGACGCCCCTCTCCGAATAACCTAAGAAACAACTCTCTTATATATTATTATACTATTTCCTAAGAAGTAACTATGTTATATTATTATACTCCTATTTATTTATGATTATGATTACACGTGTTTAAGTTTTAAGCTCCAATACAAGGGTGGTGTTGCTCTTCAGCCAATAGATTCTTGTTCCAGTGGTTAATACTTTACCACCCACTCCACCCCACAACCTTCACCTTTCTCTCTCCTCTTGACTCACCAACTCCTCTTTATAAACCCCACCTCCTCCTTCGCATTCCTTCCAGCCACCGTCTACCGTCCACCGCCATTACCTCCTCCTCCTCTCTCTCTATCTGCCAAGACATGGAGTCTACAACCACAAGAAGGCCTTATTTTCTTGAAGAAAACAATGGGCTTGCTTCTATCTCAGACATAGAACATGGGTTCTCATCGTCACCGTCGTCGTCGACGGAAGACAACCACCGTGGACAACACCTGATTTCCAGACCTCTGTACTCGCCGAGAAAAGCAAGTCTTAGAAACCTTTCGTCTTTTTCCTCTCTTTCTTCTCCAAGATCTGGGAGGTTTTTGCATGGAAGATTTGAAGAGCAACAGCCTCATTTTTTGGATGCTTGTTTTCTCTGCAAAAAACCACTTGGTCCTAACAGAGATATCTTCATGTACAGGTAGTTTGATTTATAATTTATCTAAACCTTTTGTGTTTTTTTTTTGTTCTTTTGATTCAACGATATTTGGATCCAATATCAGATGGGTTTTGCTCTGTTTTTCTCTTTTGTTTTGAGTTGGGTTCATGAATTTGTTGAATGAACAAACCATTCATAAAATTTCATTTTTTTTGCTCTGGATTTCGCTGAAACGATGCACCTTTCTTAAAAAAATCATCGATTTTCCAAATTTCACTTCAATCAAAGAGATTTTGATCATTTCCCAGTTGGGTATTTGTTAGATCGACAATTCTCATCAATCGAAGAAATATTTGATCATATTTCATACGGGTTTCATCTGTTTTTCATTTCCGATCGGGGGAACTTTTCGATTATTTCATAAATTTTCATCAATCAAAGATCTTCTTCGAAACTTATCAAATCCGGATCGACTCTAAGATGTGTATGCTCTGATTTCCATTCCTAATATTTTTTTTCGATGAATTTATAGAGGGGACACACCATTCTGTAGTGAAGAGTGCAGATCAGAGCAGATCGACATCGATGACTCCAAAGAAAAAAACAAGAATCTTTCTGCTTCAATGAAAGCTTTGAGGAAGAAAGAAAAGAGTGAAACTTCCCCAACCAAATCTTCCAAAAAATACCCTTTTTATTCTGGAGCAGTTGCTGCTGCTTAATCAGTAATTTCTACCTAAAACGAGGGGTAAAAAGGGAAAATTTTGTCCATTATATAAGTATGTGAGGTGAAAAGAAACAAGATATAATTTTTTTTTTTGCTCTTTTACCTTATTTTATTTACCACGCTACTGTTTTTACTGTGGTAAAAAAGCTATATAACATAACGAAATGTGAAAAAAGGTCAAAATATGGTAGACTTACCATCTTAACCAAGAAGAAGAATGGTGGTGTATGGAGTATTGTACAACTGCTTAATGCATGAAGTTATTATACGTGCTTATCTTGTAGTACATCTGAGTATATATATCCATAAAAGTACAAGTCCTAATGCAACCTTTTTTGTGGTGTGTTTGGTACTTTCTGTTTATGTTGTGATATGAAGTATTCTTTTTTCTTTCTTTTCTTTTAGGAAGTGAAGAATTTCTACCTTTTTTTCTAATTAAATATTAATTTATCAGATTCTAGTTTATATTTTTAACTTTTTAGAGAATAAGAATCATGCATATCAACCATAATATATGAATTTTATATTAAGAATTAAATAATATTTTTGAAAAAAGTGCGCTCTAATTATGAAATTAGATCTAAAAGAAAATCATTTCTTGGTTTGAAACTTCAACATTGTTAAAGTTAAACAAAAAGTTAGGCGAAGTTACATAAATGGTCCCTATCATATTTGTATATTTTGTTTCTAATTATGTTTTTAATTTCCTACTTGATATATATATATATATATATATATATATATATATATATATATATATATATATATATATATATATATATATATATATATATATATATATATATATATATATAAAATATTAAGAACGGAAAAAATCTTATTTTATGTGTAAATACAAAATGATAATTTTTTTTTTTGTCTTTTTGGTACCAAAATAGCAAATTTGTAATTTTTTACAGTCCTCGTATTTTAGCACAGCTATTATATAAAATATAAAACTTAATATAGTTAATTTATAAAATTCAAATTTTTCATAATATCTCTTCACTAATTTAGAAGGGTGATACTCCTGGTGGTCCATCATCAATTACCACTTTCAGGACCAATCATCTATGTTAATATCTCCATCATCATTCATTTCAAATCAAATTTGTATATATAGAATCATACATTGTTAGCTTAAATACTATATCCATAAATTTAGCTTAAATACTATATTCATAACTTAATAAATTTATTAATTCACTAATTTAAAGTTTAATACAACAATTATAATTCACTAATTTAAAGTTTAATGCAACAATTATAAAAACTAATATGTTCTTACACGTTTACTCCATAAAAAAATGTTCACAAGAAAATTAATACCAATATTCATATTTTAACGTAAAGTTCATAAAACATCACAATTTAATACAATAAATTCATAATTTAATACAGTTAATTCACAATTTAATATATAAAATTAACAGGTTATATATTAAATTCACCTTTTAATACACAAAAACTACAAATTCACATCCATATTCTCTTATTAAAATTTACAATTATAAAATTCAGATATATGAGTTGGGATTTCTTTTAAATTTTAATTTACATAATATTCATAATTTAAATTTTACATATTTTATTCAAAATTAGGGAACATAAAATCTATATATAATGATTTTTTCATCTCATATTTTAGAAGCAAACATAAAATTCGAAAATTATAGATTAGTATATTTAATTCACCGCTCAATACATTTAATTCATTATTTAATACACAAATTCACAGTTTAATAAAATATATTTACATGTTAAAAATTACATTTGATGATGTTTAGAGCTTTAGAGGTTGTATTAGATAGCAGTTAACACACTCATCACAATTCACAACTTAAAAAACCTAAATTTATATTATTTGAGAAAACACTAATATAGTAAAAACAAATTTAAATTCACATTAAAACTTATAAAAATTCGTACATTTACTACTTAAAACTTAATCACAACTACAACTTATAAAAAAAATCATGCATTCACACCTTAATACTTATAAAAAAAATCATCCATTTACAGCTTAAAACTTTTTCTAATTAAAATAGTTAGATATGTATAAATCCATGCATTAATAACTTAATAATTAAAAAAAAAAACACTTATTCACAACTTAAGAAACTAGTCTACACATTCATTCACAACTTAATAAAATAGTTCAAGAACTTATTCATATTATTCAAATTTTAAAAACATACATTGTTTTTAGTTAGGCATTTCATCAAACACCTTCAATGCATCTTATGTCCACGTCTAAGATTGTTCCCTTACTTCAAATACATGAGCACCGATGATAGGCAACAATAGCGGTGGTGCGATGTCGATTATGGTAGAGGTGGAGTCACAATGACAATGGTAGCATCATATCCGGATGTAAGATTTGTTGGTGATGATTTCTATCAGGTCTATTGTTTCGGCGAAGCAAATCAGAGAAATTTTCTTGTATTCCATCAGATGTAGACGTCAAAGATCTGGAGACGAACTAGATCTGGACTTCGGAGCAAAGTGTGATGTTTTTTTATGTTCCAACGAAGCACAATAGTTTATGTTAGGCGGTGGTTGGTGGTGATAAAGTCGACAATTAGATCTGACCAAATTGCACGAGATTTGATATGTTTTACATTTTAGAAAAAGGAAGTGAAGCTGAAACAACTTCTTGACTCAAGATCAGAAACCAGGTGGCAATCGACGATGGATATAAAGGTATTTTCATCAGATCCTCTCAGATATGTGTTTCTGTTTGTGACATCTCATTTTCACCAACAAAAAAGACCAACTTGTTTATGATTATTTAAAAAGCAGAGTATCATTTTTGAAGAATAAGGTTGTGGAATTTGTTCCCAAAAATATGATAAATGTATTATCAAAACATTTCCGAAGAAATGTATTTTACTTATATTAAAACATTAGGATGTCATTGTCAATACAGAAACATAAGCATAACAAAATATTACAAGCCTTATAGTAATTAAACTAGTTGCTTAATACTCCTTGAATATCTCAGCAGAATGTATCTTTCATATAGCTACATGTGATATAATAAACTGAGTGGGTTAGGTTGAGAAACCTAGTGAGTACATAAGAATTTCAATCTCACAATGTGATAATAATGTATATCTCAAACCGAAAAATCTAACTATTATCATTAACACAAATATATCATATCTCTAAAACAATTTATCTCATCCTATCGATTCCCACGTATAGATCCTATACCATGATCTTACAAGATCTAGCCTAAAGGATCAATATGAAAAGAAAAAAAACTGACGATGCTGCTTCGGAAACGCTGACACACAAAAATCATTAAAATAAAAAGTTTGGGAAAATACTAATAGAGTACTCCCATATGCTCTCTTACCCCGACATACAATAGTGTCAAAAAAAGGACTTTGTACATGATAGTACTTCATTATAGTACCCTTGTATAAGTAGGAATTGTACCTTAGAACATAATAATACCCCGACACAAGCAGCACCTAAGACATAAAGCTCTGAAAAAGACTTGGTACGTAGAAAGTACTTTTATATGTAGAACATACTCCATCGATCGTCAATCTCCTTGAATAGAGTTTCTACTTTCTATTTCGATCACACACGTAACCTGAATAAGATACTACCCAATATCCAAACTTAATTGAACTATGCATCTCATTTAAGTCTTATTTCATCACTAAGCAAGCCTACAATGCTTATAATCAACTTTCAATGTTAACTCTATTTTGGAAACACTATCCTAATTTAGCGTAATCTTTTATACAGAGTATTAAGTACTAACATACATTTATCTTCTCATTTATAATACTTCTATTATTATTATCTTGTAAATACATCTTAACTCATAAAGAACCATGTCTGGTTCGTATAACGTATATCATCAAATATACATATATCACATATTTCCATATAAGAAGCATATAACTCACATATACACTTGCAACATATATTTAATACATTTATTAATACTTGTATTAAAATCATGTTCATTAAAGGGACTATGCAATCACTTGTTAAAGTGACAACTTGAGATTTGGGCAACACTTCGCTTCTAGCAACTGTCTTTTCCTTTGACGTAACCTAGCATTATTATTGCTAAGTTTCAGTCTAATATTTATTGCGACTAATTATTAATCTAGATTCATTATTAACTCAAAGTCTAATTCAAGATATATCAAGTAAGGAATAACCATGTAGGATCATAATAGAGGTAGGGTTCGTTTGGTATACGAAGTATACTGTTTGGAAATCCCACTTTAAACATATCACTAAATCACGGCCTAAACATCATCCCCGTAATCAGATCAATAAGTATAACGACTTGGAATCACTAATAAATCTTGTTTATAGGTTCATAATAACGATAATGAACTTAAACAAAAGTTATACTTAAAGTATGGTAAGCATAACTCACTTACAAGGGAGTTTAGTGAGGAACCGAACTCTGAGCGGGCAGAACTTCTGAGCCGAAAGCTCTTCTTCTCGGGGCCTTCTGGCACTCTTGGATTCGCTACTCACACCTAGGAGGTAATAGGGAAAGGCTTAGAGGAGTTGGGGGTGTTTGGGAGAGAAATGGGTGAAGAGATGTGAGAAAAAAGAGTGAAAACGCCTTCTATTTATAGGTCGTCAGAACCGAGTACGCCGAACGCACTCAAGAATTACGCTAAGCGTAATGGTTTTTAAGGGTTACGATGAGCATACTGAAAATTACGTTGGGCGTAATGTGCCACGTTTCACGATCTCGTTCACAGCCGTGGGGAAGAACTAGTGGTTCAGATCTTGCCACGTACCACTTGCTAGTTTAGTCCAATAATTAATTATCTTCTAAAATCCTTAACTTTTGCATACGAGCTCTATTTTTGACATTCTTTATATCCATGCGTAGGTAGCGACATGCGCTACAACTTTCATTTAGAATCCGTCAGCTAATTTTGAATTTATTTTTAAAGTTATATTTTAACAGACTTAAATAGTTAAAGTCCGTTAAAAATTCATAACTTTGTCATACGATGTTCGTTTTCGGATGTATTTATATCTTTAAGATCCTATTAATGAGGTCTTCAAT